GTTTATTGGTAATGAAAAGACAAAACAAAAAGGAGTTACCCCACAAAAGAGGGCTAGAGAAGACAGAGCAAGGGGAGGGGAAATAGGAGAGATACGGAGAGATAGATAGAGGTGAGACAGAGGGAAAAGAAGGCGTTACCAGCGGAGGTCGGGGCGGGCCGTCGCTGTGCCGAGGCGGGGCTGTGCCCGCTGCCGGCCGCGGTGCGCCGTGAGGGGAGCTCGGGCAGGAGGGCCTGGAGCGTGGGCAGGAGGGCCAGGAGCGTGGGCAGGAGGGTCAGAAGCGTGGGCAGGAGGGTCAGAAGTGTGGGCAGGAGGGTCAGGAGCTCGGGCAGGAGGGCCAGGAGCTCGGGCAGGAGAGCCAGGAGCCTGGGCAGTCGCGCCAGGAGTGTGGGCAGGAGGGTCAGGAGTGTGGGCAGGAGGGTCAGGAGCTCGGGCAGGAGAGCCAGGAGCGTGGGCAGTCGCGCCAGGAGCGTGGGCAGGAGGGCCAGGAGCTCGGGCGCTGGGCAGTCGCGCCAGGAGCCTGGGCAGTCGCGACGAGGATGGGCGGCGGGCTGGCTCGGGCGCTGGATCACAGGTGCCTCGGGCGGGACGCAGAGACGGAGCGCGCAGGGCGTCGGTCAGGGACACAGGGAGGCAGGACAGACGCGAGGGCGAGCAAGAGCCAGTGAGGGCAGGAGAGCCAAAAGACAAGACTCCAAAAGCAAGTTCGAAAAGCCCCCAAAAGAGTCAAAAGGCCAGCGACAGGACAGCCCCCGGAGCTTGTGACACAGTTACCTTTCATGCCCCCGGCTCCTCCCCGAGTGTGCCTGCTGACCCGAGACCATCGGCCCAGCCCGATGTCCCACTGCAGGCCATTGGCAGAGACCTTTTCCGTCTGACTGGGGTACAGTGCCTTCGGTGTCTCCCTGCTGTCCCCCTGCCTGTCCCGTGGGAGACATCGAATGGTGGCCAGGCAAAGTCTCCCCAGAGACAAGGCTTTCCTGCATCTTCTCCTGGCTGCCTGCTGGACGTGGCACATGTGCAGCCCCTCCCTCACAGGCCTCTGACAGCCATTGCTGAGGCCTAACAAAACTCATTGGCTCCTCACAGAATGGTTTGAAAGCTTTTCTTTTCAAACAGGCTCAGCTTTGTTCCAAGCTCTTTCTGCATTTCACAGGATCACATATATTGTGGTTGGGCTGAACTGTTTTAAGATTATAGTTCTGCCATAACGTTTGCTTCAGACAAGTGATCACTTTATGTCCTGAAAAACATATGTCAGACCAGACATTACTTTTGGGAACCGTGTCTGTCTCCTGATCCTCTAAGACTCAACTCAGCTTTTTAAGGACCACAGCCTTGCAAACAACTCCATCACTAAACTGTAAGATGATGACCCTGGACTGTACCTGAGCCAGTGACTTTGGATCCAGAAAGCAAAAATGCAGAGTGGGTGTTACCAGCCACCCATCCAGTCCCAGTCTGTTGACCAAACCTCTCACTAAGCCAATTCAAATACAGGTCCTTCTTCTCATCTCCCTCCTCTGCAGAGGTACTATGGCCTACCCATGGATGCCAGATGGATCTGACACATTGGCATCTAGGTCTGACACACTGGTATCTAGAACATGACTCCACAAACCAAGGCTCCCCAAGGGACAGGAGGAATGTTTCCTTTAGAGGAGCTAGCTATGCTTGTTTATTCTCAATGAGGACAATACAAGTTTTGTCTGACAGAAAAATCATTAAAACATTTTAAAATGGAAACTAAACCCTAGATAGTACTCCGGTGCTTATAAAATATAAGAGAGATCAGAGGAAACAGGTTTATGAGAATCTAAAATTTTTTTCCCAAATTCACCAATCACTTGGAACTGGGGTGAATATCTTGCACAGTTACCCCATTCCTTCCTCATCCATTAGACTTTGCCCCCTCCTCCATGGGGCTCAGTAAATGCATTCGCCCCAAGAGACCCAAAAGCCAACTTTCCCTGCAGCTGTTTATATGAGACTAACCTTTCATGGATCCAGGCCAGACCACAAGGAAGCAAGCCATAGCCCTCTGCCCTTTTTTTGCCTTCTCCTGGAAAGACGCAACATTGCATGCCTTTGTCAGCAGTGGTCTAGCTTGGCTCTATCTCCAGCCCCAGATTTAATCCTGGGAAACACTCACGTGACTTCTCCTTACAGAATCTCCATTTGAGCCAGATTTCCCTGAATTTTTCCCCTCTTTATTCATCCAACTATTGGCTTTGTTGTTTTGGAGATATTTTTAACCTTTCAATTTCATGCTTTGGGGCCCTAATTTTAGGAATACATGACTGCAGCTTCTCAGTATAACAACCAACTTCTGACTGCTGCTTTCTCAGAGGGTCAGTTCCACCATTGAGACTGAATATTCTCCCTCCTCTTGTTCTTTCTACAAGTTTTAAATTTATTTCAATCTTTAAACATAAACCTATTTAAACAATCCACATATACATTAATGATGTTTTAGATATTTCTTTGGGAGTCACTAAGTCAATCAGCATCTGAATTTCCATGTAAAGTAGTCTGACCTTGCTGGTAAGCAGGTGGAGAACAGCTGACAAAGGGAGAGAACAATTGGACAAAAAGTGAGTATCATGGTATCAGCTCTGCTCACCATGGGTGATAAGGGTGAAGAAGACCTTTCCGAAGTTGCTGTCAGGGTTGAGTTTCAGATTTTTGTCCTCTGCAGGGAAGTGTTTCTGCCAGAGGCAGCCTACAACCTCTACTCACACAACACTGCTACTCACCACTTAGGAAGCTCGACAACGCTGGCATCTTTCCATGTTCATTACCCTCCTTAAAGCTGCCAAGTAAAATATGTGGGTTTATGTCTTACTGAATCCTTTGACTAATCTTGTTCTTTTTTGTGCTGTGGTCACTTTATGGGAATGAGTGTGGTTGCAGAGGAAACCAGCCCCAGTTACTAACTCAGCTGCCACAGTTTAGAGGGAGAGCTTGTTTCTGACCTTTACACAGTCCCTCTGCAAGAACATCCCCTCAACACTAAGATCACTACTAAGGTCACTACTTTGTGTATGAGATCAAGCTGCATTTTCTCCAGTGGTTCCTCCAGCACTTTCTAAGGAAGCTGAGCTGCTGTTTGAAGTGTAGTCTTTCAGGGAGATAGGCAACCAGAAGATGTTTGCAGTGGGATAGTGCAACATTTGTAAAACAAACAAGTGTCTGTTAGCCCATGTTAATAGTACATTCCTAGAAAGCCCATACCAGTCATGTTATTTATCTCTCCTTAATAATGGCAAAAATAATTTAACTCTACCAATTTAATAAGCACACAATTATCATACTGTCTGTTTTCAGGCTTCAATATGTTTTTTTTACCTGTTCCTGGATCCTTTGGCCAGTAAACATGATGTGGTCATAGGTTTTCCACTGTAGACAGATCAAAGCCTCTTGTCTTTAACAACTTGACTTATGCGTGGGATTTCCAACTGGCCAGCAACCTGGTGAATCCAAACCCATATGGTGGAGCCTGCAGTGTCAAGCGCAGGGATGGAGTGTAGATGTGCACAAGGGAAGTGGCCACCCTGTCATTGGTGCACCCAGGCCACACCCCCCAGGCTTCCAGGAGCTCCTCTGGGAAGGCATTGCAGTTTCACTACCCTGTTACAGGTTCAGAGAGGAATCTCCCATCCACTGCTGTAATTTCTAACAAGACATGAACAGCAAGATGAGGGACATGCTTTTACACCAGCCTAAGCAGCAAACAGGAGACTTATGGCTTTACAGCTGTTTTCAAGATTTGTAGAAGTTGGAAGATCCAGGTTTTGGAGAAAACACAAAAGCAACTTGTATTCTGTCCCTCCTGGGTTCACTGCTCTCTCTGTATCCATGAGAAGCTGTGATCACAATTCCTGGAATCATGAACCAATGTGACCAGATCATGGGATTCAGGAGCTTCTGGTAACTGGAAGGACGTAACTCTTTTTATGTCCAGTGGAACACTTGAGTACATCTGCCTTACTAAGCTTCTAGAGCATTTTCTTTCCAGATACTGGCTCAGAAAGGAGCAGTGTTCTTCACTTCAACAAGGTTCTGCATAGTCCTTGCATTTGGAGAGTGCTGAAGCTCCAGTTTCTTGAAGTTCTAAGTAGGGCATGTGATATGCTGAGAAATGAAATACTTATTCCCTCAGTTTTGTCTCTTGCTCCCTCTTCCTGTCCCCCACCCTCAAATAGCACAGCTTTGAGTTATGCCTGGAAGGATTTGCTTTCAACCCAAACCCAGAGGGAGAGCTTTCAAAGGGCAACACTGCTGATACTAGTGTGTTTTCAGAATTAGTGCACATCTGCCTCACTGAGGTGCCTCAACACCAGCATCTTTCACTTATATCAAAAGAAAGACATATAATACAAGATTTGCTGTAATTTAATATAAATCAGTTAGCAGCTTCTAAAGGAATAATCAAACTCAAAACAGTGTTGAAAGTGAACAGAAACAATAGATGCAAGTTGCATCGAGCAGACGCAAACAGAAGAATTCAACTTTGCTCTGCCTGATGTTCAAGATGCCTTTGTTTGGCAATTTAGCTTGTAAACTAACCACTGTCATTTGGCACATTCAGAGATGTTTTACGCACAGAAAAGAGGACAGCAAGGACTGTTGTGATATTAAGGGATACAAACATAGAAAGCAATGAATATGTTACTATATCCTCTTCGGCCAGCTGTATTTCCGAGTCCTTATTAGATGGAGAAACAACATGTCATTTGTCCTCTGCACACATATGAATTATGAAGTTCTACAAGTACTAAGTGTGCAATTACAGCTGGATTTTGCATACAAAGGGCAAAGGAGAGTGATGTGGCTTCCTATAGCTTCCCTTGTGCATTTCTGCTGGAATCAAGCCCTTCCAATGAGAAGACTATAGAGTAAAGCAGGAAGAAAGAGTCTATTTTTGCCAAGTAGGAGGTTCTGCCACTGCTTTGGAGAAAGAGACAGGGGGCTTGGGCTAAGCTCTGCAGCTAGCAGCTATGGCCCACACAGAATGCAAAAAACCTATACAAGCTGCCAAAACAGCCAGCTCCCACGGGAGTTTCACTCCTGAGGTAGGAGGCAGCCCCAATGACTCCTTGAGAGCTGGCATGTGTCACCTCTAATGCACAGATCAAATAAAAACTCTTCATCCTGACCACAAAACACACCTTGTCTTTTAAGACAGAGCAAAAAAGTAAGTCATGGCACTGTTATAAAAAACAACAAAGTTGATATTTTTCAGAGACAGCTGTATGTTATGCTGGTCTGAATGCAGCCATAGTTCACATTTGTTGGACTTAATCCATGCAAAATCTATGCATCATGACTAAGTCTCAAGAGATCATGTTTCAGCCCTGCGAAACCTATGGATCATGAGTGAATCTCAAAAGACCATGTTTTGCAATTGTGTACACAAAACCACTGGAAAAGGGGTGAATGCAGCAAAGACAATCACTATGAGACAGGGAAGGTCTCCTAGAGAAGTTAGGTCTAGAGCAGAAATGTCTTAAGGGTTGACTAGCAGCAATGATCCACAAAATGAATGTAAAATAATTAGTAAGGAGATTAAAAACATATTTAGGTAAGAAACAGGGAGAACTCAGAAAGCACTTGGCATTGAAGCAAACTGCCCTTTTAAGAGCTCTTGAAGAAAAAAAATACACAGTACAGTTATATTTAGAAACTACACTGAAAGTCATCTGCAAAACTGTAACAATAAAAACCCCAAGTCTTTGAATTCATTGGCCTGATTCTCAAAAATGTGTTTCATTGAAAGCTATGAAGAATGAAGAGCTATTAAAATAAGCTCTTTGGAGGGTCTTGCTCTTACTAAATAAATATAATGAGCAAGGATTATCACAATTTTGCAATTTGATCATAATGTTCCAGGCACTCTGAGTATAAAGCAAATGCACATTAGATTATGCCCAAAGGATTACTCCTTCTAATGATAGCTGTAAACAGTGTGTTTATTTGAAACCCTGAATAAGAGAGGGCAAAGCACTCTGTGTGACTCAAACACACAATGCTTGCTACAAAAGAAAAAATCATCAGCATTATTAAGTCTAAAACAAGCTTGGCACTTGAGAAAAATGCAACAGAACTTGCCCACTGTCATTAAAGTTGGGATACCCTGTCCCAAAACACCTGAGAAAATTCCACTGAGATCCAAACCACATCTATGTGTCCAAGACAGAACTCATGTCTGGGCCTGAAATGGATTTTGAAAGAGAGGGCATTTCAGAGTTTGGTTTCAGGGTTTAGCTGCAGGGGCTTCCCACTGCTGCTGGGAAACTCAGATCAAAACCATATCTCAAATCTGCTGTGAGAACCTGAGGGGAGAGGACCTGGAAGCAGCTCAGAGTATCCCAAATAATGGCAGTAAAACAGCTGTGGCAACCTGGCTTTGTGCACAGGAGTGTGATAGCAGTGGTGTGACAGCAGTGTGATAGCACAGAACCCTTGCGAGTGCCTAGTGCTGCACCACAGTACCAGCTGCCACTGCCACTGTTACCACCAGCACCCTCTCTGAAGTTGCACCAATGCTGAAAGTACTGCCAACGTCACAGCCAAGCACTGCACTGTCCCTAATAAGAAGAATTAAAATAAGCTGAGGCTGAACTGGCTGCCCCAGCACAGAAACACCATCTAACTGAAGCTATTCAAATCTATTATTGCCAAGGGCTGCTGTACAATTTTAATGGAGCTTAGCTGGTTGTTTCTTCCCTCTTCTTTTCCCCCTTTCCAGTCAGCTGCCAGGAGCCAGACCAAGCTTGCTGGACTCAAGGCTGCTCCTCTGGCCGGCCTGCTCCAAAGCTTTTCCACAGGCTACAATGGGGTCAGTACCTTGTGCTCTGCCTGTGGGCAGACACATGCCTCTTCTGCTGTGTTCACCCAGTGTGCGAAAAATGGGCGAAATAGGCTATCCTAAGCCTTTTACCTTTAAGCCTTTTGCAAGTTTTTCATAACAGGTTTAAAACATTCAACTCTTTTAATACCAAAAATGCCTGGCTAGTCAGTTTTCTTAGCAACCAGTACTACTCTCCTTTAATATGCATTGTCAGCTAAACCATTACCTTTTTGTTGTTGTCATTCTTGCCTTCTCCACTGTTACCTGGTCCTTTCTGATCCTGACTACTCATCTACAATTTCACAGCTCTGTGTCTTTAGGTCTGTTCTGTGTTATGTTGATGAAGTCTCTGTGCCAACCATACTGTCATAACCTAGTACACTCTTCACATTTTCAAAGCCAAGGACTAAAGGATTTTAAAATTTCTTTTCAGACTTTCTGTTTCACTTCTGCAAAACAAAACAAAAAACAAACAAACAAAAAAAAAGTTGCAAGGAAGAGGAGACACAAAGAGCTCATAATGGGGGGTGCAGTTATAACCTCTTGTGACTCCCTTAATGAGGAGTCACTTTATTTTTACAAAAAAAAAAAAAAGGGATTAAATCTGAATGTCATTTTCAAACATGCCACAACTGATACATCCTCTGCACATCTTCAGAGAGATCTGCCTGTCTAGTTTTGGTAATGGAGAGCAGCCAAGCAGGTCTCTAACCGGGTCGGTCTCATGCCTGGTGGAGCAGCATGACAACTCTTGCAGAGCTCTGTGCCAGCTGGCAGTACTTCAATCTAATAATCTCATACAGCACTTTCCTACAGTGCACTGCAGGGTGTTGTAAGGCTTCATTAGCAAAGTCTTGTAAAGGATTGTGACTGCTTAAATAAAAGGGACTAGTTTAATGTTAAATATTAGGAGGAAGTTTTTCACCATGCAAAATTTTCAGTTCCAGCTCAGGAAAGTCAGCTCTCATCTTGCCCTCAGCTCTGCTAGAGAGTAATCTGCCACTGGCACTGGTAGCAACAGGATTGCCTGGAGTGGCCTGAAAGTAGCAGTGATACACAGGTTTCTTTCACATTCAAAGGAGCATTTCACTGATTTCTTGAAAGAAATGTTAATTTTCTTCCTTGGCAACACTTTAGCAGCTAAAACTATAAGCAGGCGAGTCCTGGGTTTTGCCAGAACATTTCATTCAGTTACATTTAAAACCTTTATAAACAGCCATTTTTAAAAGTAACAAAAAGGAGGTAAGAAGGCTATATTTTAACCTAAGTGAAAACTATTTCCATTGCAGTTAGCAGAATAATTCACACTCAGCAGCAGTAAGCTTTTACTGCTATGTTACATGAATAAATGACAGTTTAAATTAAAACAGTTAATCAACTGCTAGCCATGCAAACCTTCCTGCCCTACATCATGAAGACAATATAACCATAGACAACAAGGACCTTTCTGTCAAGAAGATCAGTTCTGAAAAGGAGAGGAAACCTCCCACTGAACCCAAAAACAAAAATTAAAAAAATTATGCCAGATTATTTACTGGAGGTAGATCTGACATATTCAGAGAATAATTCTGGTACCAAAGCAGAACCCTTCACTGTACTATAATTTAAATGTTTCAGAAATTACTGCAGTAAATCACAAGGGTTACTTTTCTAAACCATGTCCCCAGCTACCACATTAACGCATGTCTTAATATGGTGACTCCACCATTTCCGTGAGCAGAGTGTTCCAATATCTAAACACCCTTTCAGTGAAGAAATTTTTGCTAATATCCAATTTAAACCTCCCTTTGCACACCTCAAGGCCATGTCCTCAATTGCATGGAGCAAGTAGGACTGCCTAGTGTGGAGAAGGACATGCCAGGCACAGCAAAGCACTGTTTTGGAGGTTAGAGGAGTGGCCATGTTCCTCTTCCCATGATCCTCTCCCCTTTTCTGCCATTCATCTCTCTTCCCATGTTTATTGGCTTGATGACTTCTGTGATTAACTGCAGGGGCTCTCCTCCTTTTAAGGCGTAGCAACCACTAAAGAGAGCCAAAATTGCTGACTCCTAAAGAAGTTTACAGTAGCTGGTATTTCTGCTGCCTCTGATATTCTTAATGACTTGTTGGTCAAAGAGTGAAGAAACACCTGTTTGTTAATATTTTTGACCTCCACAGCCACCACACAGCATTTGTCCTTCAGTAGCCAGGCATGGTCTGGGATGGGTTAAGTCCAGACAAACTGTAAGGTCAGCTAAGTAATCCAGGTTTTGGGAACATTCACTCTGCAGCTGAAAACTCTGCCCACATTTTCTCTGTCTGTCAGGGTGTCTCCTTTTTCCTTACTAAGAAACACTCAGACTTATAATTTCACCCCAAGTGCTTTTATTGTGGTTTTATGCAGCGCAAGCATGTCAAACAAAGTAGTCATTACTTAATTACTTGATATCTAAATTTGAGAGTTTAGTCAAACATCTCAAGTTTTCATAATTATAGACAACTTTATATAAACATCTGGTGGGAAACAACTGGCTTGCATGCTTGAAGGAGGTGCACCACAAATGACAGGAGAATAACCTGGGGTAACAAAATAAACACTGTTGCTCATCTCAGCTTGCTAATTTTCTGAATATTTTTGTTCTCAACTGATTTTGACAAGCATTTTTTTTAATTCAACCAGAAATCTGTGTATCATTGGAGTGGTTTACTTTTGTACTTTAATACTACTAGACCAAAGATTGAGACAATGTTTTTATCCTGCCTCTGGTTTGTCAAGGAATTCTGTCATCAACATTATACCATTACCTTTTTGCATAATGCACAGCTAGCAAGACCCTAGCATGGCATAAAAATGTGTACAGGTAATTTTGTATCTATAAATTTTAGTTCACCTTTATTTTCACTCCCAGAACTCTCTCTTAGGTACAGCAAGTGCTAATTTTATGACTGTCCAATAAGGACTTTTCTCTACTATGTAATACCCCAAAGAATGTGACTCCAGGCACTTCCTCCAGAAAAAAATCAGCCTTTTTTAATTGGCAGAAGAACCTTGTTCTTTTACCTTCTCTCAGTTAGATGCTGAAGATCTCTGCCAAGTCTGCACCCAAATCTCCTTGCTGATCCTTCCAAGAGAAGATCTTAGCATGGGTAGGCATAGATGACAAAACTATTCCTGACACTTCCAGGCTCTGGAAAAGCTGTAAATCAAATGGGAAAGAGCTAAATCTTGGTCTCTTTTATGTGCTTTGGTTATCACAGAACATCTACAAGGGCAGTGACCTGCATGGTCCATGATGCTGGAGAAACTGGGTGCCAGTGCAGCAGTGGGTCACTGTGAACTGCTCCCACATTATTCCTTCAGTAGAGGAGCCATCTCTTTTCTCCACTAATCATTCTCAGTGGCAGCTATGTCACTCTGAGAAGCCAGGACACAAGGCATTATGACAAGCTAATATGTGCATTTTTTTTTTTTTTTGCTTTCTAGAAGCATTAGTAGCAAAATTATTTTCTCAGTCTATTTCATCAGCCTTAACAGGATATCCTTACACCCTCTTCTTTTTTGGTGTTTTGTTTCCTTGGCCTATCTGGGCCAATTGTGTGTGTGTGTCAGGACTGTCAGCTGACAGTCACGAGTTGTTGGGCAGTTGTATGCAGAACTGAGTGCTTGGCAGAGTCAGTTTAGATGTAATGTAATACAGTGTAATATAATATAGAATAATATAATATAATAAAGTAATTAATTAGCCTACTGATATCAATGGAGTCTCATCATTCCTCTCCCTCATCGGGGGTGCCCTTGATCCAATACCTAGGTTCCTGGAAAGGTGTTTTTTGCCCAGACTGCTGTGGGCCATGGTATATTCACAAGACTGTCTCTGTACCTAAGCAGAGGGACAAGGAGACACGAGATTCCTCATTGCTCCATGTCCTGACTTACTCCTATCCCATTTTACAACTTTAAATGAAATTAATTGACTTTCTGCAATGTATGTGATTGTTTACACTTGATAAAATCTGTTAGCTCTACAGGAAGATATATATGATCATTCTTACTAAGCATATGAATGGCAATACACAGCAATATATCGTATTTATTTATGACATATCTAGCTGTTTCTGACATTACATGTTGTCCCAAGGAAGAGGTACAGCTATGTATGCAATTCTTACTCTTCCGTAATCTGTCTCTGGTCACCATGGCAGGTAGCCTCTCTGTTTTGTCAGGTGGAGTTCACAGAATCATAGACTCACAGAATGATTTGGGTTGGAAGGGACCTTAAAGATCATCTAGCTCCAACCTCCTGGGACACCTTTCACTAGATCAGGTAATTCAGAGGCCTGTCCAGCCTGGCCTTGAGCACTTCCATGGATGAGGAGTCCACAGCCTCTCTGGGCAATCAGTTACAGTGCCTCACCACCTTATTTCCTTTCCAAATTCTTTCTAATATCTAATCCAAACCTGCCCTCCTTCAGCTTAAGGCCATTCACTACATAGGTGAATAAGAAACATTATATAATATATAAGAAAAGGGTTGAGCATTTCCACTGAGACACAATTTTGCCCCTGCAGTTTCTTGTAACATTGAGCAGGTGAAGAGGCTTTGCCATAGGGCTTTCTGCAATTACCTGTCAGTCAGCTTGAACTGCTTCTTAGAACATTGTCCTGAATAAATGAACCTCTAGATTAAATCACTGTGATGGACACATAAGCCCATATTTACAGGAATAATTACAAGTGTCCTCATAAAATTTATGTCTTTCCTTATGGGAATTCCTTAATGTTTCAAGGTTTAATTCCATTAGCACTTCATCAGAAATGTGAATCTATGTAACTGTCCCTCCCCTACAGTAAAAAAGTATATAAAAGTGTACAGTCTATGAGAGTCTAATCCCATTATTTTCTATTTAATTCAAAAAGTCTTAAAAGTAAAGTGCTCATCTATTGCAACACTTAGAGTCTCAGCCTACATGGTGAAAATTTTTTTTTGCAAAAAAGCAGGGGGGGAAAA